CTACCTTATGTGCGGTACGGTCAGCTCGCCCGCTCTCGTTGAACATGACTCCGGGAGCAATAACTTGGGCTACCGCGAGTGCCAATGATGCAGGATAGCGCGAACGCGGCGGCGGCAGTAGAGCAGCTTTGACGATGCACTGTTTCCTGATGGTGTGGTCTCGACATTGACCGGCCCTTTTGCTACGGCTTTAGCACCGCCTCTGGGCTTTGCCTTTCCCATGCAAAAAAAAATTGCCAAACCGAATTGGGCTCATCCCGCATAGCGTGGGGCGCTGCACGATTCCTGGGTGAAAACAACCAAGTTCAATGGCAAGTGGCATTGGCACCAGGCCAGGGCCACGGTATCGACTTGGCCACGCTACTATGGACTGGAGATTGGAATCGCATATCCGACATCTAGCATCACGTTGCTAGTATTGAGTGGTATCAGAGCCACACAGGGATACCGCGAACTCCCCCTTCTCTCTGCGTGCTTCATTGCCATCTTGACAAAGGCATACCGAAGTGACATTTTTCATGGTCTGCTGTGTACCTCTGTAATCACGATGCATGTCGGACGAGATGCAGACGATGGATCTATTAGGCAGGTCTTCTCTGCGGATGTGATGCAAGAGGTAGGTGACCAAAAAGCGACGCCGATGAAGTTCACGACTCGATTGGTCCGTGGCCCATGTACCAATCTGGCGACTTACTCACAATACTTACTGCGTACGGAGTATCAAACACGTCTTTCTCACGTGGCGAGCAAAGACTAACGAAGACCATCACCCGTCCAGCGACTGCGAGGCAACATGGAGTGTTCGATGCCAAGTTGATGACCACGGTTTACGATTATTGGGTTGGGCAGCGGGGGGATCATCACGTCGAGTTGTTCTTTCGGAGGCTTCCATCTCGGGCGACCTGCCTTAGTGAACTCCAAGCCCCCAGCCCCGGTGCCGTACTAAGGCAGGGTAGGGTGCCAGACTGTTGACTTTTGAGGAGTAGGGGAGGCGGTGGCGGCGAGGGTGTCTTTGGCGAGAACCGGGTGGGCAGCGCACATACCAGGACAGGCCTGGTAGTTCACCGTTGCGACCTTGGCCCAGTTGATATATCGCACCTGGCACCCATCAGAATGATTTCCTTTCCGAAGCGAAGAGCGCACACGACTATGTGGATGAATGGACGAGCAGAGGGCCAGCAACAGACTTGAAAGGCATGACCTTGTTCGGACCGGTAACGCATGCAAAACGGCTAGTGCCCGTGTTGGCAGCGTACGGGTACCTCGACCTCGTCAAACCTAGGGGGAACAACCGGCAGAAGAAGCAGGTTGTTGTGGGTATTATACCAGTACAGCGGCTCCCAAATCAATCAGTCGTATTGGAGGACAGGACAGGGCCGCTGGGTAGGTATGCAATACGGCACGGTGGGAGCAACAGCCTCAAGCTCCGAGAGAGACAAAACGGGCACCAGTTACCACCGACAAATGGTTGGTTTCCATCGGCTTACCGCCTCTCTTGCAGACTGAGTTCATGGTCCCGGTGCTGCTTGCTGCTGGTGGGTTTCGGCGACGTCAACGGCGGATAAGCAGGGGAGAATGAGAGAGAGTATGTGTTCAAACTTCATGCTTGGTGGACGGTCGACCGAGTTGATCAGTCTACCTACGGATGCGGATCCAGGATCTCTGTCTGTCAGATGTCTGTACGGGATGGAGCCATGCCGCAGTCTGAGTTTGATTCTGTTTCTGGCCCATTGGTCCTGTTCGACTGTTCCTGGGCCTGATGTGTCTGCGTACCTGCTCACTGACATCCCTGCTACCAAGTTCGGACGGAAACTGGAGATGACCTGATGCGACCCGCACTCAATAACCATGCCGACAAAGTAGTCGAAACTTCTCTGGAAATACTTCAGTCGCCCCTGGAGCAAGTCATGTCTACATTGTGCCTCCCTGTCCCTGCAGGGCAGCATCCAGCAGGTGACGTCTGGTCTTCTCCGCTGCACAGCAATTTTGCTTCGGTTGAGCTTCGTCACCCCCAGCCGGTGAGTGACCACTTCTCCCTCCTCCACAGGCTCTGGTGTAGATGATGGAGATTAATGTAGTGAACAGAAAGATTTCACGAATAGATACGCCTGAGTCCTAAGATGCAATGCTGGGAACAATTCCGCGTTTGCCAACCTAATGCAACTCGCGAGACAACACTCATTGTTGAGAACACAAATTCTCGGAGGTCCTTTTCGATCTTGACCACACCTGGCACCTTTCTCTAACCATCGAACTGGAAGCATATCGACGGTGCAAATACCTGGCGCATCTGCCCTCTAACAAGAATGAGACGAACAGTTGGCTCAAGATTGTCTAGCTACCCTACTTGTTGCTCAGTACGAATGGGTAACTTATGTTATTAAGACGTGGATTCCGCGGTCAACCCTCAACCGTCACCAAATGGCCCAGCTTTCTTTTTCGATGGATCGTGGCCGGATCTATCCAACCATGCCGCCCGATCCTGGTTGTCTGCAGACTGTCGTCCACAAGTCATTTCCTTCTCACCTGCGCACGACCCTGCTTCTGGCCACGGCCACGGTCATGACCACAACCACAGCCACACAAGTCCTCTCTCTCTCGCGCGCGCGCGCGCACTACTCACGGCCGCACGTCAATCGGCGAGCTAAGAACTAGGAGCTAGGAGCTAGGAGCCCAAGCCCAAGGTGGATGGTTGGTGGAGAGTAACGGTGACAGCTGGCTCTTCAGGGTTACTCACTCACAGCCGCCCGTCTACGAGCACACCTGGTCCATGCCAACAACGTCTTGCCCACCCTTCCACTAGCAGCGTTGACCCTCGACTTCCAAGACCCTTCAACCCGGCTTGCCTATAAGCTAGGTCGCTAGGTATCACGAAGTGGCTTCTAGCTCCATCTCATTCTCATTCTCCAGTTGCATCCCCATCTCAGCCTTCTGCCCCCGTCAAAGTCAGCTCGCCCTGCCCGGCCGGCCTGGCCGTCAGCCACAGAATGGGTACCCTGGGGCAGGTAGAGTTTCATTTGGAGAACGGCCGCGCTGAAGAAGGGCCACCCATGGAAGGCGGCTGAAAGAGAGAATTGGACGTGGCGATTACTTCACTCGAGCCCCGAGATTCCTAGACAACGTCCCTACGAAATCGTTGCTGATGCCTTTGCTTTTCTGACCGGCTGAGCAACACGAATGCAACGGGATCTGTATCCGTAAGAATACCGAGTTGGATATTTTGGCGAACCTACGAAGCCATGGGTTACGGCAAAATTGCACGAGCACCGATCAAATATCCGCCGGAGACTGACGACACTGCATCTACGCCACAGTGCACCGTGGATTCATGGGCTTTGCTGTGTGGAGAGCCCGAAATGAGGCGAGGCACAGATCCTACACTGATGCCGACCTAGCTGAGCTTGTGTGCAGTGACAACTTAGTATCTCGCCAGGACATCAGAGCTCGTCCAGATCGAGGACAGGCCTCGGCCTAGCTAACGTAGGTATTGATGTGCTCGTTGAGCTACCCGTGCTTTAGTTAGGTATCGACACCCGCATCCGCATCCGCACCCACAGTCTAGGTGCGTAGTACATGACTACATACATCCGTCTCCGTTTCGCTGGCGCAGCGCTAGGGCGCAACGTGCCGTGTGTCTTTAGAGAGGTGCCACCTAGTGGCCGCTAAGACTGTAAGACATCCTCCCTGCCCAGTCCACGGATACCTTAATCATGTCTCTCATCGTATCGACACTTCAGAGGACCATCCGAGACAGACGCGCAGGAGGACGGACGTGCCTCGAGCCGCTCAAGGATGATGACAGGCCAGGGCTCGGACGCGGACGGATAATACATCGGACGGCACAGCACAGGACAGGGCATGGCAGAACCATACTACGTACAGGACCACAGGACCACAGGGCCACAGGAACGACTCACAAAGGAAATGGGACCAGGACAAGCCAAGCTCGGAGAGAACGAACGTGGATGGATGGATGGATGGGGGACCAGAAGGCGCCCTGTCACCTTTTCTCCTTCCGCTGCCACGCTGCCATAGCCGCATCCCATCCCTCAAGCATCAGCATGTTCGGTATCCTTGCCTTCCTTCACCTACCTACCAATATTCGTACGCTATTACTTGGTACTCCGTTCGGATACCACAGTGAGTTGCCTTCTTACCCGTCGTCCGACATACCTTGCCCTGCAGCGGTCTCCGAGGGCGGCACCTCACGTACGGATACCGTGGTCCTTGCCCCATGCCAATGGTAAGGTACCCAAGGGTAGTAGCATTGTAGTGTAGCTGACGAGGATGGGATGGCAGGTTCCCTTACCTCGCCATTCAAGGCGTGGTTACGGATACGGATACTTCCTCTCTTTCCAGTCAACTCCAGTCTCCTCCCCCAGCGGCCTCGCAAGTTGCAACATCTGATGAGCACCAGAACTCTTACGTATATCCCCTATCATGGTTTGTTGTGCCACGGCTATCTCGTCGTGCGTGGCTACGCGTACGTCTTTTCCCATTCAATACCACCATCTCAGACCCGTCATCTCATCTCTCTGTTGCGCTCGCAGGTCGATCCCTCCGCTCGCCTCTCCACATATCCCATAACCTTCTTTCGACCCCGTCTACATTGCTGCATTCACACCCTCCCACCCCTAGCTCGTTCCTCGTTGTGTCTTTTCCTCTTCTTCCCCCCATATCCCTCACCCAGTTCCACGCACCCACGTCCGCTCATCTGTCTCCCCTCCCCCCTACTTACGTGCCTACCTACCTACCGCTACCTTACCCCCTGGACCCTGGGCTACCGACACCACCACCATCACCACCGGCATCATAACCACGAGCATCAGCAGCCACCGCCGCAAACCTATGTGCAGCGATTACAACGGTGGCTCGAGCGTTGCCATGCGTTCCGTCAGTACGTACTCCGATATACCTGGCTCGAACGGTCTCGTCTCGTCCTGGCTTACCTACATCTCCGAATGAGAGCCACAGCATACCACGGCCACATGGGTTGTTAACATGTTGTCCATGTTCTTTGTCCTGGCGTGCGTGCCTGGGTAAGCTACACTTCTTCCATCTGCAAGGTACTCGAGAGATCAAAGTCAATTAGCACAGGAAGATCGATCATCCTTTTCAACGTCTGCATTACCTATCTTACTGTGTATTCTATCCGTACGCATACTTACTCTCCTGGCTCATTGCTTGCTTCTTTTCTTTCGCAGATTCAATGCTCTCTTTCCCCACTCTCTGCCGCTTCCACACCCCTCCAAGCTCGCTCTCTTCAATACCATCGATATCAAGTCAATCTTACAGTTCCTCCACTCTCTCCCGCTGCCTGTCTTCATCCTGGCTTGGTCTCTGCCCTTTCTAGTGTATCCGTACATATACCTTGACTTGGAGAGTTACCCCCCGGGTGTTGGTCTGTCTCCTCCCCCCCCCCCCCTCCATCTACGAAGTTTGTACATACATCCTCGCCTAGGTATCCGTACCCTCCACCCATCCATCCCATCTTATCCTTGTACGAAATTCGTCCCATCCCATCCATCCCCCATCCGCATCCACCAGTCAGTCTTCTTTTCCTCCTTCCTGGCTCCCGGCTACATTGTAATACCCATCCTGCCATCTGCCATCTGCTACCGGCCCCGACATTCGAGACAACGTCCACCCCTCCCTGTCCACTCTCACCTGAACCATCCCTCCTTCGCATCCCCAATCAAATTTGGTACTTTGCACGCTGCATACTGGCCCTCACTGCTAAAGTTGCAAAAGTGAATACTGCGGTCGGGAAGAGACACAGTGAGGGAGAGCCTGCAGACGCAATGAAGCCCTTTTGATTTCCACCGTAAATTATTATTGCATCTTATTTCTCCGGTCCCTCTCTGTCTTTCGCTCTCTGCGGATAGTCTCGCTAGCTTTCTCTGGCCTTGGCCACGCCCGCGGCCCCGTCCCGTGTCCGCGTCTCTTCCTTCACTCACCTTTCACTGGACTGTGACCCAACTGACTCTTGTCTCCCCCACTGTCTTATTACGTTGTGGCTTCATACGTGCCTGGTTTAATCTCATGCGGGAACCCTCAGACCCAGCGCTACTATCGCCATCGCTACCGTCAACCAATATTATCATCTCCTCCCTGGCCACCGTACTGACTGCTTCAAGTTACTGGTTCTCTGTTTTTGCTGCCCACGGCTGGCAATGCTGCCAGTCTATGATTTTTCTTCCCTCTCTATCTATCTCTCTCTTTCACACACACACATACTCACTCCCTCAGACTCTCTCACTCTGTCCTTTTTCTCCTACACGCCCCCCCTCACGTTCTCTCACACTCAAGACGCATACGTCGCAGAAAGCATCGTACCTTACCTCATCCCAACCTGCACACACTCACACACACCTCTCACACACAGACGCGCGGAGAATTGTCGTTGAACAGGGGATCGTGATGGCATAGCCCTCTACCCTTGATTAGCAGCCACTCTAAAGACGTCGACCAGGGTGTTCCCTGGCCTACCTTTCCCTCGACCAGATCAACCCTGAACCACACCCTAGCTTCATCTCAATTGCCCCCTCCCCTCGTAGGTCTAGCAAGCCTGCCTCCAGTCACACAAAAACCGACCGGGAGCCACCGATCGACTGCTCCCAAAAAAAAAAAAGCCTATGGGTCCTTCTCTCCAACGTATCCAGCCCTCGAGAAATAACGCTGCTTTATTCCGGCCGCCGAGAGGAGAGAGAATCGGAGAGACAAAAAGAGGCTAGGGGTAGACTAGATCTACATCGTCTTCCTCCCTTTTCTCTACTTCCGCCCTTCTCTTTTTCTCTTATTCCATCACTTATACATCCGTACCCAAAGACAGGTCGCTGGTACGCAGGTATCCAGCCATCCATCTCCGCATCCCGTGCCTGAGGTTCTGTCGTGGTACCTCCTGCAACTGCCCGCATCAGCATCGCGCTCGACGACCCGCCAGCAACGCCGCAAGGAGCTTCATTGGAGCTTGGAGGATCATTGTGCGGGCTTCCTGCTACAGCAGCCTCATCGTCTTACAGCATCGGGCGCTGCATATTCTCATTCCTGGCCTGCTTTCCTAGCATAGCTGAATCGGTCTTCTCTTGCGACTCTCACACCTAGCACGAACGCCCGGTTGAGTGACTAAAGACCGCTCGCGAGCTTGCACTGTCTTTGAAATACCCGCTGGTTCAGACTTTTGCTATTCGCCATATCGAGTATTTCTGCAGAAACCACGAAAGAGCTTTCTTCTCCCCATCGGAACCGGTGTTTCGAGACTGAGTGGACAAGAGGAGGAATTCAACTGATTCGATCAAGAGGAAAAGGCATCATTCGAAAGGAGCCACAGAGTACAACATCCCTTGAAAAAAGAAGGGTGATTTAATTTGGGCCCGGCGCACGCAAAAGAGCGACACGGATATCGTCAACAGCATACAACGCACCGGCAGCGTCTACGCAATAGTTCCGGCCTTTCGCAACATTCTGGGAAACGAGGCGTCGTCTAAAAGAAGGCGTGGGAAGCTCTCGACCCGAGTGCCTGTTGAAGCTGCATCACAACATCCATGCAAGCCATAAGTAGCGATTGCGATACGTCGTCTACCTCGTTCGGCCAGCGCCGAGGCATTTCCGATCTGGCGCGATTCGCCCTCGACCTGACCTGGGCAACGCCAACAAGAGCAGAGTCCGAGACTCCTGCTCGACCCAGAGCATATCCTTCCCCGCCCATGTCAGGGTCTCCTCCTCTCCCGCCCAAGCCAAATCCAGAGGCTGGTGACCGAGGGCAACTGCATGGCAGCTATCCGTCCACCAGTCCGCAAAATGCCTACCGGGGAGGACTGCCGCCAACGACGATACCGCAAGGCGACTACCGAGGACCTCCGCCTCCGCCGCATTCCTTGCCGCCACCTCAGCCTCGATCATATCACGCCGATCCGCAAGACAGGATGCCTTACTCATACCCTCGACCCGACGACCACCTGCGGACTACGCCTTCAGGATACGCACATCTGGCAAGCCAAGTCATGCAGCAGCGGCCTCCTCCGCCCTACATGCAAATGTCTGGGCCACCGCCGCCACAGCCAACAGGACCTCATCAGCATGGCTACGCGACAACCATGTCGCAGACATCCCAGGACAGCGGTCCCTATACGTCTCCCAAGACGCAAAGAAAGACAAAGGGCCATGTGGCATCAGCCTGTGTGCCATGTAAACGAGCCCATCTTCGGTAGGTTACCAATCTCCCCGCAGATACTCCAAGTGAAACGGGCGGAAGTGGTATCTCGATACGGTGACGCTGACATTTAGTCTAGATGCGACGGTACGTACGAACTGGCTTGCTAGCCAGCCTATTTTTGATTTTTGGTTTTTTTTTTCTCTCCTTTTGCGTTTGCTTTCTTTAGGTTGTCATTTTTGCATTGTCCTTTCCGACTGGGGGATCGACCAAAAGAGGAAACTCCCGCGGACTGCAAGGAACCAGCACTGCAGCCTCCGGGCGCATGCGGCTCCAAATCTTTGGGGGGAACAATACTTGACATCATGACCGGTCAAGAGGGCTCCGAGAGTGAATCTGGACGCGGCATTAACCTAGCAAGGCGTACGTGCGTGCGACACTCGAAGCAGCGCAGGGATCAACCCCTGGACCTGAGACCGGTGCTGAGGGGAAGACGATCCCGCCTGGGAGGATCATTCGCAGAAACTCGGACGGAGAGTTGAGATGGTTGCGTTGAATGGGATGGCGCATGCCGTCAAAGGCTGTCAACCAAGTCTTACTTGCGGGTGTCCGTGTGGCCCAACTGGACTGGCGTCAACCCCAGCAGAGAGAGCATTGGTCTTTCTTGGCCGGACTTCCGCGCCGGCCATCTCAGCTCCTCCAGCGTCTCTCATTCTCACAACCATACAATCGGCGAACCACTACCGGTTCTTGCGCCGTCTGGTTCCTGGACCCGTTCGCCCCGGAATGTCGGCCCGGCATTTTGGGAAGATTGGCGGGTAACAGCCGGCACCCCCGGGAGCGACCCTCGAATCTTGATTACGGTTAGGGATGCGGTGAACTCGCCAATCGCGTGCCGTTGGACCGGGTGTGGTTGCTATCGATTGTGCCATTTCTGAAACAGAAAGCGGAGGCGATTTTCCCTTGCGCGAGAGCTTTTTTCTGGGTGGACTTGGCTGGTCGATCGCTGCTCCGTCTGGTCTGGTCGCGGGATGATCCAAGTGGACAGAACTAGCGTGTCATTGACGTGTCGGATGCGACGCATGGCAGCTGGTGAGCGGATGGGGTGGGAAAAGCAACCAAACGTCTAAGCCACGCGACTGACGAGCAAGTGCCCGTTGGAAGACGTCATGTAAGCTTTTTTGCTTGACTTGTGGTGGATGGTTGTGGAGGTGCGGCTTTTGCACTTGCAACAGCTTTGGATCGTGCGCTTGCGTCTTTTCTTTTTGCTCTTTAGCGTGTGGAGAGAGAACACCACAACCGGATGACAGTTTCGCTGACGTGCGCTTGCGACAAATAGCTCAGCGGCCCTGTTCGAGATGCACAAGCAACGGCAAGGAAGACGCCTGCGTTGATGTGCAACACAAGAAGCGTGGCCGCCCGCGGCTGAGAGACGACCGAGAAGCCCGCTATGGCCCCTCGACATATCAGCATCCTCAGGATGCCGCAGCCGCCGCCGCGGCAGCAAGGAGACCGCCGCTGAGCCACTACTCAGCTGGCACTCCCATCTCAGGGTACGATGACCCCATCCGAGGCAGTCACTCCTATCGCGTTCTAAAGTCTCAACCAAGCGAACCCATTGCGCCTCGGTATCTGGACAGAGCTCCCATGGGCGACGCGAACCTGTACGGCCAGCCCCCGTCTCTCGCGTCTGGGGCGCCCGAGCCAGTCATCTTCTTGACGACAGAGCTGGAAATTGCGCGTGCTTCGCCGGCTTTTTCTGATGCCGTCGGAATTCCTAACGTCAGAGGCCGCTCTCTCTTCGACATTGTGGCGCCCACTGAGCGCGAGAAGCTTCAGAGCCACCAACGGCAGATACAAGAGGAGCGAACAAGAAAGGACCCCGTCTACCTACCTCCCATCTTCGGCAGGCAGGAGCAAGAGCGCGTTTTCGACTCTTTGCGATTCGAGGCCGATGAGATTTCGCGGTTCCAGCTCGATCGTCAAGACTTCTTCGTTTTCGCGGCGAGCGATGGACAGCCGAGGTCGTATTCCGTGCGCCTGGGTTTGGCCAAACGTGAATCGATTTACTTCATCGTCCTCCTCATCAATGCCGCACCGCGGTATCCGTACCCCTCGCCATCTCCGCATGCACGCGAGGTGCCGTATCCTTATCCGCCTCAACAGCAGGCATACGCGCAGCACACTCCCGTCTCCGCCACGTTCGAGCAGCCGAGACTTCGATTCGGAGAAGGCGCACTCGCGCCGCGCCCATCCCCTGGCCAACCTCTGCACATGGCTTCTGGTCTAAGCCCCGGTGTCAGTCCTGGCATGCCGTCATATGCGGCCTCACCCAGCCGTCCCGAGTACGCCAGCGGACCCTCGTCATACCAGATCCCTCGCAGTGAGCTGCCGCCGACCACTCGGCCGCCGCAGCCATCTTTCCAGTTGCCTCCGATCCGAGCTGGCCCCCATCAACCTCCCCAACCAGAGTCATCTTCCTGGCAAAGGGACGAACGATCCGGACGGGTCGATATTGGTGGCCTTCTCGAGAAGCCGGACCCGCAGCAACGACGTCCGCAATGAGTAATGACTTCCTGCCGCCCTAGCGGTTGTGGTCGATAATAATTCCCTTCACCCGGCTCGGTGTACGTCTCCTGCCCAGTAACGATAGGGGCTGCATTCGAGACCGAATCCCTGGTCCGTTGACATTTTTGACCGTGTGTTGAGGTGGGCGGTCTCCGCGTCGTTCGCCTCTTGTATTTGTATCGAGTTCCCTTCGTTTCCATGTCCGCCTTCGGGTCCATCGTTGTTGTTTTTCCGGTGGCCACGAGCCATCACGAGATACCACTTGTATAACCACCAACTTTTTTCTTGCTTTTTGCTCCACCCCCTGCACATACTGTTTTCCTCCTGCTTCCAATTGGGGCATTTTGGCATCCGTTTGGGCGTTTTTCTCTTTGGCTTCGATTCCCTGGGCTGGGCAGGTTGCGTATGTTGTTGCATCCAATCCAATGCTGAATGATGTTGGAGAGTGTAGGAATATGGCCCGTCGTCTCCAAAGAGATTGGCGGCGGAATGAGAAGAGCCATGGGGCGGTCATATGCGTGTCTTTGTTGCTGTCTGGGTCCCCAGATACCGTTTTCTTGTTATATCCCTTAAAGAAAAGAAGGCCCACCCGGCGATTCCTTGCCAACTACCGCGTTGCTCCGTTCACGTTGCCTTGCTGCTGAAGTGCCCCAGCGTTGTTTTTGTCGTCGTCGTCTAACTCGGACTCTTGTGATGGTGGGTTATATCCGACGTGGTGACGATGGCGTCTAGGATGATGATGAGTACCGAATCCAGAGTTTCGAAAAGTCCGATGCCGACAACAGGCTGAAGCCAACGATACTTCGACGAACAACTCAAGACGTGGCAAGACGACTCTTTGTTTGCTTCTATTACTTGAAGAAGAATATGGGCAAACGAGCGGGGGAAGGGCGAGGCCGCAGACTTTTGACAGGAGAGTTGCCCCATTACTCAGGTCCGGGAATTGCGGAGACCATCGGGAAGGGGTCAGTGCGGGAGAGCATCTGCCGCAATTTTGGCAGGTCGACCCGTGGACCTATTTATCGTAGCCATGGCCATGGAGCATTGATGGAGGGGTGTTCCATGCTTCATGTTGCGGGAGTGTGGTGGAGGCGTAGCGTGCACCGGTAAGGTGACATAGGAACGAGATGCTCGGGAGAGCGAAACATTGCTAGATCCCGGCTGAAGGTGAAAAGAGGAAAGAGGAGTAGGAAGGGAAAGGGGGGTGGACAAGAAAGAAAGAGAGAGGCGGTTGTTGTAAAAGAGAGAACTGGAGAAAATAGAGGCCAGAGCAAAGAACGAGGTTCGGCTGCCACTACAACAACAGGCCCGTAGATAATTTAAACCACCTTGGTTCATAAGACTGCAATGGAAAAGGATTGGTCACTCACTTGAGCCCCCCATCCAACGTTTCGTTTTCCCCTTTGGCCACCCCTGCCTTGCCCTCCCTTCTCTGCAGTCCACTGCGGCGCAAGTCAAATCTGCGACTTTTGCAAGAGCTCGTCTGTGCCCATTCAGGCGCCCACGACCGGCGGATGCGGATGCGTATGCGGATGCGTGCTTCCTAATGAACCCATCTGCGTGCGTTGCGTTGCGTTGCTTTCTTGCGTCTCTTGTGTCCAATGCAAGTGGTGCAGGCGGAAGTGTGTGTCATTTCGCGTGGCTCCTAGTTGCATCCGCATTGGAAGGTATAGTCCGGCCCTGGTATTGGATTGGTGCTGCCGCCCGCTTGAAGCATTGGTTGAGGATGAATGATAATCGCTCGGTCTGGTTTTGGGTCCCATTTTCCCCTCTCTTGCCGATGAACCATTGCATATAATCCATGGTCTTAGGTGATGAGAAGCGAGAGTGTGCGATATGAGATGGGGCCAAGGATGAAAGAGAGTGGGAGACTGGGAGGGAAGAAGAGAAGGATGGTGGAGGGGGGAGGGATTATCGGGAGTTTTCCTCGGGAGGTCCATGGTTCTTGTTTGGACGTTCGGGATGGATTGGTGTTGCCATTGGCTCGAGTCATAGTCTCTGACATCTCTGTGTCTCTCCTTGTGCTGCATGTCCTTTTTCTTTCTTCGGCGTTGGCTCGAGGTTTGTGTTTGGTTTTGTGCTTCTGTGGCAGCGTTGGCCTACTCGATCTAGAGTGCGAGCTGCCTTTATGCCGTCAGATGATGGACATGTATGTCCGTTTCTTCATCGCCAACGTTCCCGCAGATCTTTTCTTTGGCCGTGTGCCGTAATGTGGGCAGCATCCCCCAACAAAGTAAGAGAGTAACAGACTGAGCGGGACTCGAGAGATGAGGTGAGAGAAAAAGGATGCGATGCTCAGGGGGATCTTGAGTTGACCGTCGTCTTCTGTCCCGGCCCCCCCCCCCCTCCGGGGATCTCTCTCTTTTTGTCTTTCTTCCTGCGTAGTCAAAAGTCGTTCGTGCGTCCCTTTATTTTACCCCAGAGGCCCAACCGAAAGGAGGGACAGGGAAACGAGCGAGGAAACGAAACGAAACAAAACAGGCCTGTAGTGGATCCAACCACCGAGGCACCAGCCAGGGGAATGGGATGAAGAGGTGCAGGGGGATGCACTGGAGGTTGCTCGTTACGGTTGAGAAAAATCTCCGAGACGGAGCCGGGCAGATTGTTGGTGGCCCAAAAGAGTTTTTCATTCGGTCATTGTGCATCTTTGGGTGGGTATACCTGTCCAATATTGAAAACCACGGACAGCACCCTTGACCATTCAGCTGATCAACGGGATCCAAGGAGATTGAGGGATGCGAGAAGCTTTTGAATTGGTGTGCTTTGCTGGCGAAAAGAAACGAGGCAGTATTCCTAATGGTTGAGAATTGAGACCTTTGGGTTACCGGCGGGAGAGGACACCACCACATGTTCGCATTCGTCCAAGCGACGGAGACCACCACCCAAAGTTGAAACGCTGATGGACATATTGGGAACTGTAGTGGATGCGAACAGCTGAAAGCGGCAAGACGCGGCAGGGGTTTGTAATTGTCTATTTGCTATTCCGGGAAGGGAGAAGACGCCGTCAAGTGCAAACACGAGGCGTTGAACTGTGCCGCTCGAGTGACTCTTCAGAGTTTGAAAAGAACGGCGAAAGGATGTGGACGAGGAGAAGAAGCAAATTCCGATGCGAAAAGGAAACCATCTTGAGAGCGTCGACCTGAAACAAAAGAGGCGCTGCCGAAGGATCTTCATGATTCTCACTGGATTCGGCCCTCTACGTTCTTGACGTCCCCAGCGCGCTAGACCGCGAAAGGGTCGCGAGGGGGAGGCGAAGGTTCCTGAAATGGACTCTTGGGCACCCTGAGCAGTTGTCGTTTGCAGCGCAAACGGGAAAGGCGCATACGGTTAAGGTTGTTTCGAAACGGGCCTCGCATGGCAGCCAGGTCCTATGGGCGCACGTTTGCTTGGAGGAGTTGGGGGGAGGAAATGAGGGAGGGGCGCCGGATAGTGGCAGTGCCGGCCGCTAAACCACAACGTGGGAAAGCTAGTCGCACTATCAACACCGGTCGACAGCTGCCAGACGTCTTCGCAATGCTCGCTGTCGAGATCAAGAGATGAGGAGGGTTTCTCTCCACTGCCGTGTTGCTAGTGAGCCTCTGTAATCGGGGTTTGTTGCCGCTGCTGAGGACGAAAAGCATTCCGTAGGATACTGTAGGACGACCGTCAAGTATCCGAACCACGCGAGGAGCTGGGGTCCTGGGTCTACCGAGAGGCCCTACGGATACTAGACTCTGATAAGAAGAGGGGCGATGCTGCGTTGCCGGTGGACGTTGGGCGGTAGGCCGTCCTGTTCCTGCATGGATGGCATCATGGGACAGGCTGATGCTTCAATGGTGGCGGCAACAAACGCCCGCTTCTCAACCGTTTTTTGGAGAGTTTGATTTGCGGCTGACTTGTCGTTCGACCGTGTTTTGGCGGCCGCTGTCATCCGCGTGGCCATGCTCGGAGCCATGCCCGTAGTGCGAACTGTCACTGCGAGTAGGAGGCTTGACTCGGTAGGCGAGTGTCTTGCGCCGCTTGCTGTCTGGCTCATGAGTGTCAAGGGGCATGAGTGTACTCGTTGTCAAGTTGCGACTGGTGTTCATGGCCTCCTCTTTGGCCTCATCATGCTGCTGATCGAGCTCGCGTTGCAGCTTATCGGGCGAAGGTGGCGTGCTGTCGTCGAAAACCTCATCAATGTCCCGTTTCCTGCCGACCTGAAGTGGCCCCGACGGTTGAGGAATTTGCATGTCCATCAAGCTCTCGGCGTGGGACAGAGGAGCAAGAGGACTTCGGGGGATACGCCGGCCGGGTGTCATGGTTGGGTCCGAAATGATAGGATCTGGTGAAGGTAGTCTGGAGCTCCATCCGCTGGACCCGCTGTCAGACGTGACACTACAACCATGCACGTAGTGGCAGCGGTGGGCCTGGTAAGGACCAGGGGGAGGGCCAACTTACCTCGCACTCGAGAGATGGGCGCGTGTCGAGGCCACGCCGTCACCTGTGGTGCTTTCTGCTGGCTCGTCTTTGCACATGGCAGGCGCCGCTGGGAGTGTACGGAGTACGTGGAGTTGGTTAGTGTTAGACTGACAATGGTCCAAAAAGAGGGGACAGCAATCTTTGCAAAGATGGCCTGGCGGCCGACGCTGGTGCGGGCAGTTCGGATGCTTGTCGTTATATTTTGGTCAGTTTCTGAAAAAGTGCACGGTTCTCAAACGACGACCATGTGCCGGCCGGTTGTAAATGGTGTAAATGTTGCCGGCTTGTGCGCGAGAAGCCCCTTTGTCAACTTCATGCGAGAAGCCGTGGTTTGGGGTGCCTCGCCAAATTTCATGATGATGAGGCCAAACTTTCGGTATCCGCAGCTTTGAATGAACGTGCAAGAGATTGCAACTGTCTGTTCTTCCCTATCCCATTGGAAATATCTCCAGCAAACAACAAAGGCGTTTATGTTAGGCCGAGGTCAGGGCATGTCTCGGAGTGTGCCGCTGTCTGAGTCACCCTTCGAGGAATGAACTTCTTCATGGGGTTCTGCGAAGCTTCTGCGAGGCAGATTTGTTGACAGACGTCCAAGGCGTTTTCGGCCAAGTAGAATGGATACCACCGCGATTTGTTTGTGCCTGATGGCTGAGCTTGGTAGGTGGCATTCTCTTGAACATTGGAGACTTTCGGTGTCGAACACCGCCACAGCCTCCACACCAGAAATGTCAACGCTGTTCTCGGTGAATCTGATCGATGGACTACATCGACAGTCCCTGGTTTGATCACTGGGGATCTATGCTCGCAGGGTTGACGGATACGCCCCGGATCGGAGCCCGGAATCTTTGGAAACTAAAGCACGACTTCGAAGATCGATCAGAAATGGTCTTTCAGTGTCTCGGTCTCGCGAATTCGATGGTACTCTGGCGTCATCACATCTGGATGGGTTTCGTGCCAGCGTCAGAAATGTCGATCCGAGTGCTGTGTTGTGCAGAATTGTGACAGGTGCAAATTGGTCAGATAACGGTGAAGACGACATGGACTCGAGGACTGCAACCGTAAATTGTATTAGGGGCTAGAGGCATTGTCAAGGATGTGTATTGTTGCAGCAACCCGGGTGGGAGGTCGATAGGTTGTTGAAGTGATGCGCAGATGGGTGTGGGCTCCTTAAGGTACCTTACCTTAGGTAGGTTGTGGGATGCGATGGGTAAGAACGGCTACTTTGGTACGTACCGAGGTAGCTGAGGTGCCCGAGGAAGGTTCGTGGTTCCAAGGCAAGCACCTTCCATAAAGTGGTTTTGGCTGACTAAACAGCTGCTCACGTGAAGACGCGCCAAACTCTGGGAACCCGTGAGCCCGGTAGTCGCGACTCCATCCTCGCTGGCAGCAGGCATTTTCTCCTCTCCACTCGACAACCTTGCGAATTCGTACATTCACACTGTTTCCCAAGCCAGCTGAATGAAGCTGTTGGTGGGCATGTACCGCTATTGAGCTGCCTTCCTGCCTCGCCTTACTGGTGTTACACTGCCCCGCAACAGCTACTAGCAACATTGAGCCTTCTCGAACCTCAGACGGCCATGGCTGACCCCATGGAAGTCGATTCCGCTCCTTCTGCTGGCACGAAGCGGAAGGCGGAGGATGACCTGGAAGACTCTCAAGGGCCTCGTCGAATTCGCGTGAGTTGCATTTGCCGCTTACTCGGCGTGCTACACTTCTGACAGGCGTATGCAGGCCCTCGATCAGAATGTAGTCAATAAAATCGCCGCCGGAGAGATCATTGTTGCCCCTGTCAATGCCCTGAAAGAATTGATCGAGAACTCCGTTGACGCAGGTGCCACCGCTCTCGAGGTACTGGTCAAGGAGGGTGGCCTCAAACTCCTGCAAATCACCGACAATGGATGCGGTATTCAGGTATGACATGACATGCGTCCTCTTCGTGGATCTACCTATCCGTTCTGACTCTGCTCAAGAGAGAAGACATGGAGATTCTCTGTGAGCGTCATACGACTTCTAAGATCACCGCCTTCGAGGACCTCACCTCCATTGCCACGTATGGCTTCAGAGGCGAAGCCCTAGCAAGTATCAGTCACATCGCCCATCTTTCCGTGACTACCAAGACCAAAGACTCGAATTGCGCATGGCGTGCCACATACCTCGATGGGAAGCTGGCTCCTGCAAAGCCCGGTCAGTCGGCTGAGCCCAAGCCCACTGCTGGCCGCCAGGGTACGCAGATCAGCGTCGAAGACATGTTCTATAACATACCGACACGTCGAAGAGCATTTAGGTCGCCTGCTGAGGAGTACAATAAGATCATTGACATTGTTGGACGTTACGCCATCCATTGTAAGGGAGTGGGCTTCTCCTGCAAGAAGCACGGCGAATCGGGTACCAGTGTATCCATCCAAGCCACAGCAAGCGAAATCGACCGAATACGGCAGATATACGGCTCAAGTGTCGCCAACGAGTTAATGCAGTTCTCAACCTCAGAAGACCGTTGGGGCTTCAAGGCTACTGGATGGGCTACGAACGCCAACTACAACATAAAAAAGACTACCTTTCTCCTATTCATCAATCACCGTTGTGTAGAGTCAACCACCATAAGAAAGGCACTTGAGCAGCTGTACGCCTCATTCTTACCCAAGGGCGGTCGGCCATTCATCTACCTCAGCCTCGAGATCGACCCTGCCCGAGTCGACGTCAACGTCCATCCCACGAAGCAAGAAGTGCATTTCCTGAACGAAGATGACGTCATCCAGTCAATATGCGAGCACATACGCTCTAAGCTGGCAGAGGTGGACACAAGTCGCACATTCATGACACAGAGCTTGCTCCCGGGGGGCCAGATGATGGAGATATCCCCTCAGGCCGAGAGCGAGGGAACCCCAGCGACGCCGGCAAGAGAAACCCCAGGCTCGAAAAGACCACGGAGGAACTCTAACAACCTCGTCCGTACCGATACGAGCTTGCGGAAAATCACCAGCATGCTGCCCTCAGCCACAGCTGCTACGCCCTCCAAGGCATCCCCCGGGCTTGCTGCGGCCGCAGCCGGGGCGGCTGACGAAAATGCCTTGTCTGCCTCGGAGCGTATCCAGTACGAAACGGTCGATAGGCCCTTCGCGCCAATGAGGCTTACTAGCGTCAAGGAGCTCCGGGCCGAGGTAAGGGAAGACATGCACAACGACCTCACAGAAATCTTTGCGAATCACACATTTGTCGGCGTCGTCGACGAACGCCGTCGATTGGCCGCTATTCAGGGCGGTGTCAAGATGTATCTTATTGACTACGGTCGGACCTGTTACGAGTACTGCTATCAAGTCGGGCTGACGGATTTTGGCAACTTTGGCACCATCCGCTTCACGCCGCCTCTAGACCTGCGAGAGATCCTCCGCATCGGCGCTGAGGTAGAGAAGGCGAACATCGAGTCTCCCGAGGAGAACTTTGAGATTGAGGACGTTGTCGAGAAGGTAGCAGCCCAGCTCATTGAGCGGCGTGAGATGCTTACCGAGTACTTCTCCCTCGAAGTCTCCCCTGCGGGCGAGCTGCTCACCATCCCCCTCCTGATCAAGGGCTACACGCCCGCCATGGTCAAGTTGCCTCGTTTCCTGCTGCGTCTCGGACCCTGCGTCAACTGGGAGGATGAGAAGCTGTGCTTTGATTCCTTTTTGAAAGAGCTGGCGTCCTTCTATGTGCCTGAGCAGTTGCCGCCGACGGTTGGCGGAGAGGCTGACGAGAATGAGGGGGAGGCCAAGGTCGATGATCAGCTTGCGGGGCGGCGGAGAAATGTGCGTTCCGCGATTGAGCATGTGTTCTTCCCTGCCTTCAAGGCGAGGCTGGTTGCGACTACGTCGTTGATGAAGGCTGCTGTGTTGGAGGTTGCTGATCTAAAGGGCTTGTATCGCGTTTTCGAGAGGTGTTAGGGGTGGATGATTGGATGTTTGGGTTCAGCCACGATGAAATGGCACAATCGTGCAGCATCACGATCCTGGACGTCGCGAACGCTATGGGAAGCTGGTTGTATCCTTCTCTATGGGCGCTCGAAGTCTGCGTTGTCGAGCAAGTTCTATGTAAAGAAGCTTTACAACGACTGTGCTGAAGACGAGGAAGATTCCCAAGGATCCAAGGTGAACAAGGAAATCGTTCCGCCTGATCTCAAGGTAGTAAAATTTGGTGGACCTCCATAGTATTGCGGCAATTGTTTCGTGAGCGTTCGGCGCAACATGAAGAGAGACCTGAGCTTCGCCATGTTAGTTCGAACGAGGCATAGAACCTTGCGAAATGCTTACAAGCGTTCTCTAATATCTCTCCGCCGAGGAGAGTACTATCCTCATAAGTCAAGACCAACATGACAGCCGTCAGGGTTAAGAGAGTAGCGCAGGTCTCTAAGATGCTGTCAACTTCCCTGTTATGGAGGCTATGATATCTTCCGATCACTCTAAGGACTTGAAGACAGAGTAAGATCGTGCCACAGCATATCGTCGTGACTCTGTATAGCACATTCACTTCTCCAGGAGCAATTGCCCGAAGCAGTGGCGTGGAGGTGAGGAAGAGGCCAAAAACTATAACAATGTAGGGAGGCCAAATTGACATCATGATAGCAAAAATTTGTGTGATGAAACGAAGAAACGTATTCACAACAAAGTCGAATGACTTTCGAGCATTTTCGGTGTAAGAACGCAGTTTCGACTTGAAATCCTGGCTTTGGGACTCTGCGCCGGGGTGTTTGCTGTTTGTCAAGAGTTTCAATCGGTACCCCACGAATACAGCCGGGCCCCTCTCGAAGGACGGTAACGTCCCTGAGTCTTTTCCCAGGAGAACGTGAATTAATGGCCATTTCCAAATGAATAATATTCTCGTGACGTTATTCAAAACGGTGTCTGGATAATTGTGGTGATATTGTTGCGGTGGCCGATTCTTGGTGCTGCCTGAGAATGACTGTGCATGATAGTGGGAACGGGAGGCACCGCCATCGCTTGGGAACACCGGTAAAGCAACTCTATCGGTCGCCAGACCTCTTTTTTTCCCAATGCTGTATTGGATGTTCCCCCAGGAGATCATGTAGGCTGAGCCAATGGAGCGTGCTATCACCATGCCCAAGAGGCTGCTGTCGCTCTCTCGTATAACCCAAGAACCGGAATCACCGGCTTGGAGATCTAGCAGTCTGTCAGATGAACTTTTATGCCTGGAACCATCAGCGTGAAGAAAGAGTACACACCGCCTTCCCTGAGCTTTATGGTCCAAGATTCATACGAGTTGTCTGGACCAGCAAGTATGTATGAGGGATTCGAGGACAGCACACCATACACAACGCCGCTCATGCCTGAGATGATTATGACAGGCCAAGAATTTCCATCAGGAAAGCTTGCTGCGTCTAGGCTGCTAGGGTCTGTGATTTGTAAATAGTGATCAGAGCCAGGTACAGTGTTCGGTAGGCGGCATCCTGGTGCAACGGAAATGAGGCTCCAATCATTCCAGATTTCATCCGAGTTTAGAGATAGTAGGGATCCAAGGCGTGGGCCTTGTACAAACGTAGGCCCAATATTGGGAGAATCGAGAGTTTCGTCTGCTCGAAGATGCTTAGATGACATTTTCAACGATTCAGGCGTTCCGGGCTGTAACAATTCATCGTCTTCAGGTTCCTCATTCGCAAATTCCGTAATGAGGTCAGCCAAAGACGGGACATCCTTTTCGCTGTTCGCGATGCTTTCGTCTTGCGGACGGTGACTTGTTGTTAACCCAAATGTCTGACCGTCAAGCTCAACCAGACCGCCTATGGTCGATGTTCTTGGGGAGCCATCCGAATCCTTGAAGGTGACCAAACTGCCGCACAGAGTTCCTGTGAACGAGGGATCAATGTCATACGATCCAGGCACAGCTGGGCGAGTAATTTTCATGTTCTCGTAACACAGCTTCAAGGGACTGTAGAGATGTTTGTAGCCTGGCTGGGACATTAAACGGTCGAATGCTCGAATGTCTTCGGATTGCTCAAGGCCAGAGATGCAGATGTAGGTATTGGAGGCGGGTTTAGATAGCGAAAGTATGCGAAGCTGTTGCCACCAACTGGGCTCTATAGAAACCAGAGACAGTAGGATGACTGGAAATTGGCGTCCGAATTTGGCATGGAATGCGGTGTTGTGGTTTCTGAGTCTTAGTCGAAACACGTTCAAGACTTTTCGTTCCTCATCGGTGAATGTGACATTAGAATTTGCCCAGGCGGTCTTGAGGCTCAAAGATCGAAAACTCTGTGGCTCTACAATGACTCTAGTGAGCCCATCGAATGTATCATGCCCCGCAGTGTCTCTCAACTTCCTGGTGTCGGTCGCCTGGGGCTCGTCGTTACGACTCCCTGGGGCGGGAAGTTGGTATTGCTCAGCCAGTTGATTCTGCAAGTCCGAGGGCTCGCTCGGCATAACGACGTTGACAATAGTTTCAATTTTCGCCTGTTCGGTAATTTCCCCATTCCTTCGAGAATCTTGCAGTTCGACCTGGCTATTTCCCTCATTGCAAGACAGTAGCTCGCGGCTTTCTGGGAGGCACACGGTGTCGATTGTTAGACGCTCTCCATGTCCATCTTCGAGGGTCTTCGCGCCCTCTCCACACGCGTAAGCAGGCAGGACTGAGTCGGATCTAGATTTGAGGATGTCGAACGTCTCTAAGAAATCGCAAAAGATAGCGTCGGCGGCATCGATTCCCTGCCTATTAATGCCAAAGCTAGTCGTGATGAGCCTTGACATACTTATCCCATGTGTCGTCCAGGACACTTCGGGCGATAGTATGAATTCAATACCCTCTGAAAGGCGCCAGTTGATTCTCATATGAACAATAGAGGGACATTGAGTAATTATCGGAGGGCTAGGAATGACTCGAAGAATTGCTCTTTATTACGGTCAGACTGGCTGATACTTTAGCCTACGGGCCCTGACGAGGATACCGCTATTGTGATAGTAAAAGAAGAGAAGAAGAATGGGGGCCCGTGTTGGGTGGGTGTATTAGGGTACCCTTCCCGTCCAGGTGAGGCTGACTTACCGACTAAGGCAGGCTGATTCGACCACTTGGCACGCCCAAATCAGAGTTGCTTTTTCTGTTGAGTTGCCTCAGGTGTAATTGGAAAGACGAGCCGGTGGGTGCGTTAGGTCGTGCACCAATGTTACATCGGTAACTCCTCCGCCAACGTACTAATGCTGAGAATCCCCGTCAGTTTTCTCACCAACACAGCCTTGCCATGGGATTCATAATGGAGAACCACCCACACGATCGTCGGGCTTGAATCAGAGAATTCTTTGCCAGCTCATTTTCTCTGTGTCGGAAGAGAATGCGCAATGGCGCGTCCTTCGAGTTTACTACAGGCAAATAACATTGGAGACAATGCCTCATTGACGTACCACTTACGAAGTGCCAAACTTTCGAAATATCACGCAGACCACATCTCGTTTTGCAAAGCTCATTGCAATGGAATTAAACTCCAGAGAGCGTTTATGCAGCTCAAAGCAGACCCTCTGGCTACAAAAGGGGCGATTCTCTCTCAAGCCGACCAGGAGAGCATTGGATCGGTGCTCGATTGCGTTGTGCGGCTCATGTTCATGACAGCGTGCCAACCAGGAGGGGCTGTACTGGGAAGTTATTGGATTCATGAATGGAATGATGAAGAGATACTGCCGGATTTTCTCAGACGTGTTTACTCGCAGGCTTTTGCTGGAGGAACACCGGAACAGCCCATCAACATGGAGAACTCCAGCGCTTATATCCTATCCAAGAACGCCAGAGTTTTTCTCAAAGCAACCGACGTGTTGTCGGATCACCTATCTTTGATTATAGGGGAAGGTTTCAAGACGTTGTTGGTCTTCCACCATCGCGCATTTCTCGAACGTAGCCTAGAGGTTTTGAAGACGGATCGGGAAGATTTAAGCCAGTCTTTGCCAGAAGCTGTATCCATGTAAGCCCTGACCCCTCGGAACTTTTTTTGGGTGACTTGAAACTTAACAAGTGATATGACAGTGGCTGTCTTGACCCAACACTCCTCCAAGAAACGCTGAGGACCCTTGACCTCCTGTTTCCACCTTCCGGTGACGGACAATCCCGAAGAATACTCGAAAAATGGGTGCAGAAGGAAGATCTTGACCCAGGTCTGCTAGAGCCAGGCCATACCATGCTGGAAATATCAGCTGAGAATAAGACCCCCGATGACCTTCAGGAGCTGTACATGCAATATCCGCACTGGGCCCCACGGCTGGCCCGTTTGCTGAAGGAGGTCGACGATCCAACCCCGACAACTAGGTGGGAGCGCTACGCAGAACGGAGAAAATCCCCTCGGCACATGTACAAGTGCGCTCTAGCCGCCTTCATTGTGGCAGCCATATTCGGTATACTTGCAACGGTGCTGGCGGCAGTCCAGGTCTGGATATCATATTGCGCCTGGGTGGACGACCCGATGAAGTCTTTGTGCGGAGCGAAGAAAACTCAAACTTCTCCAACATTGATTGGGAGATTCTGGAGTCCAATGTGAAGAAGAGGCATCTTTTTTATGAGACATTTAGATATTGTTTGGCCTTTACCGTGATGCTTCACTCATGACAAAGACCAGGAGATGTCCCATAAAACGCCGGCAAGATCGGCTAGAGTGTAAGTCGGGTGAGCCGAGGTGGAGCCCGATCGCCGATCGCCGTTGCCGTACAGTGTCCGCGCCGGCGCCAAATCCTTGGCTTAACGCCTTAGTCTGGTAGAAACCATACAGTGCTCAAATAACACCATACATGGCGCTTGTGATCAAATCCGCTTGCCATTTCCAAACCTGCCGTGCCCAGACTTCCAAGTTCCCGTCACTCAACCTCATGTTCACACTCAGAGTCTTCAATTCACATTTGATCATTCGACACAATCGAGCATACTGCATTTCAGCCATGGCTTCGCGACCAGACATGGATGACGAGGACCTCACCTTCCATTGCTGCGCGCCCCTCCGGCCCTCAGAGCTCTTGAGACCAATTGACGTCGGAGACCTTGGGTAAGTATGATACTCACTCGACTCTTGATCTTGCTCAAGGCTTCATCGTCTGTAATTAAATCCGTCTCAAACTGACAACTCATCACCCTTCACAGCGGCTCAGGCCACGCAGGAAAATCAACATTCCTCGCCTGGCCCATCTTCGGCCCCCTCCTCTTCCAAAACGAAACGAGCGATGCGCGCGACCACTGCGCGAATGAGAGGAGTATGTCAAGATGCCATATCACACCCCTCAATCTCATCACCCATCACTCATCGCTCATCACTCACTCACTCACAACATCACAGCATTCCTAAGCTACCTCCGCCTCTCAGTCTACATGTCCATCGTCGCCGTCGCCATCGTCCTCTCCTTCCACCTGAAGTCCGAACCCAGCCAGCTCGAGCTGCGCATGGCCAAACCCCTCGGCATCATCTTTTGGGTCCTGGCCGTCGCGTGTCTGTGTCTCGGGATCGGTAACTACATAAGTGAGTCTTTCCTCCCCTACGGTGCAAGCTCCCCCCCAAAAGCGCAGAGTGGCTGATGTGGATGCATGTAAGAAACCGTCAACAAGTATAGTCGCAAAGCGGCCATCGTGCAAACCGGATGGAGGACGCAGCTCGTAAGTCTTCTCACCTCACCGACCCCTGCCTCATGTTTATGAAGACTCTTGGAAATTGCCCTCATGTTGACTCGAATACCCTAGGTCCTTGCCGTGGTGGCTCTCAGCATCGTAGGAACATGCGTCGTCTTACTCGTCATTACAAAGATTTCAGCAAACTCTCAAGAGGGACAGAAGAACTCATCAACTAACGCAGAAGCAGCAGCAGCAGCTTTCGTCGCAGGACCAGTCTTGAAGTGAATATGCTGCAAACAAAAAAATCTCATTTCGCTTATTTGTATCCCACCTTTTTGTGCCTTTGTCTTCGTCGCGCCGTGTCAGTCCATGCTGGTGTTCCATCCATCCCGTGGGTATATAAAAAGGGTCTATATAGTATACACTTGGCACAAGATTCTCTTAATCATCTTGACCGGCAGGCTGTCCCTCCTTGGGATTTGCTCCGCACTCACTTCATTCTCCATTAAGCCTTGAGTTTACCATCTGGTGTGCAAAATAGATCCCTCGCGGACCCATCCACGTGATCCCGCTGAGACTCTTCTTTGCTGCAGCCACCGACTTGCTCGCGCCATGTGAACATGTACTCTATCGCCATTTGATAGATGTGCCTTAGGTTCGTTCCCTCGCCCTCCCAGCCGAGCAGTGGAAGATCATTGGCGGGCTTGAGACTACCATTATTCGGCAGCGTGTCCATCGTCTGGACCAGGGACCCCGAGCCAAACCTCGATTCCGAGAGACTCGCCGTCCTCTTACCCTCCCCACTTTCTTTCTCGTATTCCTCGGGAGCCTGGTAGAGCTCCTGGTGCACTGTCGCGATCGTGGCTGCCGTCTCCGCGCTGGGGTACAGCGTGAAGTAGCCCCTGAGCCGGGACAGGCGCAGCATATGTTCCAGCCAGGAGGGGTACATCTTGCTGACCTGCTTTTCGGCAATCAGCGCCGGCGACGGCTCGGCACCCCGCGCGTGTTGCAGCGCGTCGACTTGCGATACGAGGCCGTGCAGCTCGATCCACCTGTCACCGAAGAAGAGAACGGCGTTGCTGTTGGGAGCTTGCCACAGGTAGGAAGTTCCGGGTTCCAGATCGCTTGCGCCTTCTGCCGTCGGCTCGATGAAGTCCTTCTTGCCGTTCAGGTACATGGAAGGCGTGGTCATGCTGATGCCGAGCAAACGTTGGTCCCATTTCTGGAGGGTGGTCAGGCGAGAGTAGCGGTACTCCAACACCGTATACTTCAGGTCTGGTAATCGTTAGTCAGATGTTCTAGTTCTTGTGACATGGATTATGCCTACAATGGAAGAAACCAGGCGCAAGCTCCGCCTGCGGCGAAAGAACTAGAATATGAGAGTACTTTGGCGTTGTTGGCCAGAAAGACTCAAGGAATCGTATGGAGCTCTCCTCCTCCGTCATGCGCTGTCTCGGGATTCTATGCCTTAGGGAGAGCATCTGCACGCGCCCGGGGTTATGCACGTGTGGCGGCGGCCAGCGGAACGTCTCGAGGAACTTGGCCGTCGCAGGTTCAATGTCTTGCGGTAGCTCAATGGTGAGGTGAGGGATCGAGAAGGCAGTGAAATCGGCGTCATTGAGAGACTTGAGCAGCCGCAACAGGCTGCCTGACCCGCTCGCCGGGGCCTGGATCAGGATGTCGACGCTGACCTGGTTCCACGCAGCTAGGGAAGCGCTGTCAAGCTTCGACAACCATGAAAGATGTGTCCAGGCACCAGCGGGAAGCTCAATCAGCGGGGTCTTGAGCCTGCCCGTCTCGTCGCGCATTCCTTTCGTGAAGGGGACGTATTCGTCGTCGGAACCGTCAATGAGGATAGCTTGAGGATGCATGTATGTGCTTATGTGTCGCAGCGCGCGGACCGCGGATTGTTCGAGTCGAGCGTCGGTCGAGAGGGGGGAGAAGTCGGCTCGGGCATCGTGCCAGATGATGTAGCAGGTATCGTCCACGCCGTTGATCTTCTTCAGCTCGTCGAGGTTGATGTCGCTCCTGCTCATGACGGCAAAGTGTACGTAGCTTCTCAGCTCAGTGCCCATCTTACATGCGAACGGTAGCAAGCTCGATATGCTGCGCAAGTTGGAGGCGGCGAAGAGGACATTTTGGTTGATGGGCTGGCTGCCCTTGGTAGCAGCAATGGCGTGCAGCGAGTTGGCGAGCCGGTGGAACTTGACGGGGCCATTGTAGTCGTGTTCCGTGGCTGGCGGGATGGGTTGACCTTGAGCTAGTCGGCCGGGCTTTCGTGAGGAGGGATCGCGGGACGGAGAAGCGTCTTCGGGGTACGGGTAGATGTAGTTCGGGGGCCGTTGGCCGAAACCGAGGGAGAGGTCGCTCAAGAGGTACCAGAGGCCGGCGGCAATGACGAGGAGGTAGGCGATGCGTCGGAAGAGGCGGCGGGAGGGCATCTTGGCGGCGGGCTGCCATTGGGGGTTCCTGTTTCGAAGCAGCATGGGGTTCTTGATGGCGCTGCCGCCAGGGCGGTGATGGTCGTCGTCCTTCTTCCCCATCTCTTCATCGCTGAGGAAAACGAAGGAGCGTAATTGGCGCCATGGATCCGGCATGCTTCTCTATCTGGGAGGGACGGAGAGGTGCAGCAGCGATGGGCCTGAGGACAGTTTAAAGGAAGAAGAGGGGAAGAGAGAGAGTAAGAAGGGCAAGGGAGAAGTGGAAGCGAAGGTAAGACGAAGCGTGCGTGGATGGTACACGTTCACCGAAAAAAGGACTGAAAGTTGCAAGGGAGGGGGGAGCGGTGATCCGAGGGTTGGGCGTCTCACATCTTCCCGTCGAGGTGGTAGAGAAGCTGGCTGGGCTGCGTTATCCGTTGGAAAGCTCCAGATGCAAAGTTGAAGGATAACTGACGCAGGAGTAGGAGGAGGGCGAGTAAGGTCGAGGCTAAAGCTGAGCAGCAGCGAGCGTACAGGACAGCACAGCAGTTGAAACAGACGCAGTTGCTGAAGCGGGCCAGCGGGACGGGATCAGATGGGAACTGGCCGGGATGGGATGAGAGATGCCGTGAGATGCGATGCGCAAGGTAGTCGTTCGTACTCCGTACACGAAAGGTAAGAAAGTCGGCGCAAGTGTGGGAAACAACAAGTGGTCCCCCTTTCCCATGCGGTTCCCCTTCGTTTTCCTCCCCTGTTGGAACGTTGCCGGCAATTGATCACCTAGATGGGCCAGACCTTGACGAGAGATTTGAGATCCCAGGGTTGTCTGCTCCAGCTGGGCTGTGCAGCGTGGTGCAATGTCACAGACGCGAGCTTTGGTGGGTACTGGGTGGTGGATCTGTGGAGCTGGTCCGGACGTGGCCCGGAGGAAGATGCGCGTGGTGGGGGTGGACGGACGATCTCGAAGCTTTTGCTCTTGCTCTTGCTTTTTGCTTTGGATGGTATGCTACCTAGTGAACCGTGATAGGTCAAGGTTGACGTGGACCCGAGGATTTGAGAGGTGGTGGTCACGGTCGTACGTGTGCGTGTGCGAGAGAGACCGAGCGAGAGCCAGCGGGGATCCGAAGACTGTACAGACTACGGAGTATTCGTATCTGTACGTACATAGTGCCGATAATGACAGCTGCACGAAGAGGGATCGAGGGAGAGACACAAAGGTAAAAAAGCAAAAGTGGCATTAAGTGAGGTCCGTTAAGGGGACCGTTGAAAAAAAGGTGTTTAAAGTGTCCGGCTCGGCGTCCGTCTGGTGGTGTCCCAAGCAAGGAATGGGCGTGTGACACGGTGACAGCAATGTCATCCATCATTCTAAGTACGTACTTGCGGCAGTACGTATGCTACATACCTGGGTTGAGTTCCATCAAACGCGACTGCCAAATGCCTAACTTGACAGCTAAGAGGTGTTCAACGTCAATTGAACCTGTCTCTCCCGATGTCTCACAAGGTTGGGGAACGCAATGTACTGTTCCTGACCTTAGCGTGGCGCCCCTACGCGGTAGGCGGGGAAAGGTACCTTACAGGCTCCCGTCAGCCCAGGTAGGTATCCCGTCCCTTGAACACTGAAGCTTGAACTTTCCGGCCCGGAAAACAAGCCTGGACTCTCTCCCTCGATCGGGCATCCGAGCCATGTATCTGCCCGCGTCTGCCTATGTGTAGCACACTAAATATGCCATCCCTGCTGTACTCTTTATCCCATGGGCCGTTATTCCACGTTGTGTTCCACAGTCAACGTGAGAAAATGGAGTACGTACTGATAGATCTGGTCGATGGATGGGACCAATTGGTGAGACGACTGGTGATTGGCGAATGGAGATCGGTGGTACGGGATGCCGGGCGGGAACACGAGCCACACTGTGGCTGCCCATAGCAACACCTTTTTTTGAATTTTTTTTCTGTTCGTCACTCTATTTTTTCGGGAAGTGAAGCATTGGGAACTTTTTTGATAGGGTCGGTCACGAACATTGGTCCAAACCCCGAATAAGAAGCCATCTCCAAAATTCACAATATCTCATCCTCACTCTCTTCACATCCACAACACACTACATAAGATCTCACACATACACCCAATCATACTCATACAAAATGGGAAAGTCAAGACGAAACAGAGGCGGCCCAAGCCATCGCAAGGACCCCATCGCCAAAACCGTCAAGCCCCCCTCCGACCCCGAGCTCGCCGCCCTCAGGGAAAAGTCCATCCTGCCCGTCATCAAGGACCTGCAGAGCGCCGACCCCAAGTCGCGCACCGCCGCCGCCGAGGCCGTCTCCAACCTCGTCTCCAACGAAAAGTGCCGGAAGCTGCTGTTGCGTGAGCAGATTGTCCACATCGTCCTGAACGAGACCCTCACCGATGCCAGCCTCGACAGCCGCGCCGCCGGTTGGGACATTTTGAGGGTTCTCGCCGAGGAGGAGGAGGCCGACTTTTGCATTCACCTGTACCGTCAAGATGTGTTGAGCGCCATTGGTTTTGCTTCTCAGACTGTAAGTCAAGTTGTCACTTATTTCAAACTCACTAACAAGAACCCGTGTATGTGAGTGCGTGTGAGTATCTACCGTGCGCTAACATGACAAACTCAGGTTCTCCAAAACCTTGCCAAGGGCTCATCTCTGAGCAAGGGCGAGACAAAGGTCACCTGGACCATCACCGAGTCCGTCATTGGCCTTTTGTCCGCTCTCGCCGAGGCCCAGGATGAGGTTCTCGAAGCCATTGTGGGCATCGAGGGTATCAAGCACTTGCTCTTCACCGTCATCGCTCATTCCGACACACCGTCAAGCATCTGCCTCGACGCTCTCTCTGCCCTCCTGACTCTT